AGAGGGAACCACTGAGCAATTCGTCTGTAACATACCAGCAAGCCAGAGCTGATGTAGTCCTTACTCTGCATGCACTATTATCACCAAACCCAGACTCACACAGGCGGCTTCAAAACCCAGGAGAAATTAAAATCTTGTGTTGCTGTACTTTATGGCATGCTGGTACACCCCAGCTTTCTGCAGCCATTGTGCTGGGAGCAGCTTTTCAATCAAAATTCCTCCTATCAGTAGAAAGTGTCATTCTTCAGTAGCAGCAAGAAGAGAAAACACTTTATAAATTATTAGTTACTACCCTGTCAGGTATCAACAGAAGACTTAAAGGGAAAAAAAGAAAATAAAAACAGAAAATTCCAAATTGATGTTAGCAAAATCTATAGGTGATGAACCTGAGCGGTCAGTAGCCAAAGCTAAGAAAAATTAGCTAAGTAACCTCTCCTCATCCCTTAAGTATGAAAATCCCACTTACTGCTTTCTCTTCGGCAACCAGACATGGTATTTCCACAGGGCATCATAGGGACACTTCCCATTTTACCTATGGGGAAAACAAAGGCATCAAAACTGTAACGTTTCTGTGAGGAAATTGTATACAGTTCATGGAAGCTGCAGTCCTTTGAATAATCACATGTTACTCTGAAAAGTGCTCAGAAAAACTTCCCAAACAGCTGAACCTGAATATGTAGTCCTGAAAGGGTTTGGGAACAAGGCCAGGAAACAAGGAGCAAAAACTAGGCCTGGCCAGCACGTGCCCCATCAATTTTCTCCCTCTGTCGGTCTCTCTCATATTGTCCCAGCTGTATCTGCAATGCAAAAGCTGCATTTTTCTGATAATGTTGCATTCTAGCCCAAGTGTACTGTTAATATTTGGACAGCTACATGTGATGGATAATGACTTTTAAAGAAAATTCTTTATGCTTGGCCTTAGAGAGATGGCTCAGAAGAAAGAACACCTGACTTTCTTGCAGAGGACCCAATTCTGTTTCTAGCATCCACATGGTGGCTCTCAACCACCTCCAACTCTAGTTACAAGGGACCTGATACCCCCTTCTAACCTCCACAGGCACCAGGCATGCACATGCAAATGTACATACACAGGCAAAACACTCATACAATAAAATAAAATTTAAAAAGTATTAAAAAGTATTTTTAGTTCCAGTCTGTTTAATGAGACCCTTTCTCAAACAACAACAAAAAAACAGACAAAAGAGTCAGATGTGATTTCATGCACTTGTCATTCTAGTGCTTAGGAACATGTGGCTAAGGAATTCAAGGATAGTCTAGGCTGTATAAAATCTTGTTTTAAGAGGTAAAAAAGTGTAAAAGAGACTAAAATTGGATAAAGTGACTGTAAGCATCACACCAAAATGCAATCCATAAAATAAATATTGATAAATTGATTTTTGCTGAATGATGGTGATGCATGCCTATCTCTGAGTTTGAGGCCAACCTGGTCTACAAAATGAGTCCAGGACAGCCAAGGCTACACAGAGAAACCCTGTCTCAGAAAGAAAGAAGGAAGGAAGAAAGGATAGATGTCTGCTGTGTAGATATGGAAAGGGCCAAGCCTTAGGTTGGGGACATCTGCAAATAATTGTGTCATCAGTATAAGGCTTGAATTCAGATTAGATAAGAAGTCTCTATAGCAGTGGTTCTAAACCTTCCCAATGACTTTAATGTGGTTAGTTCCTCATGCTATGCTGACCCCAACCATAAAATTGTTTTCTGTGCTACATCATAACTGTAATTTTGCTGCTGTTATGAATCATAATGTAATTATCTGTGTTTTCAAATGGTCATAGGTTACTCTGGTGAAAGGGTCATTCTGTTTCCAAAGGGCCCTCTACAGGCTGAGAACCAATGCTCTAAATGGACAGGTGGTGGTAGACTGGAGAACCTAATGCCCTTCGGCCAGTGGATGAACAAAAAACAGTAGTATATACAGGGAGAATAGAATAATATTCAACGGTAAATAGGGACAAACCACTGATATATGCAGCAGCTTGGATAAATATCTCACGTATACCAAAAGAGCATCTTTTAGATGACAGACCAAGGTAAACATAATGCATTTGTTGCCCCTAAAGTAGTAAGAGAAGATTTAAAATTTTTTGTATATAGGCACCTGTGCATGCGTATGTGGAGACCAGACATCAGATGTCTTCCTCTATTGCTGTCTACCTTATTTTTTGAGATGGAGTCTCAGTGAACCTGAAATTCACCTTTCAGCTAGGCAGGTGGGCCAGCAAGCTCACAGGGTTCTCCTGTCTCTGGCCCTCACACTGAAGTTAGCAGCTTTCACACAGGTGCTGAGGTCTGAATTCAGGTCTTCTTGCTTATGCAACAAGCACCTTACTCAGCCATTTTCCAGCCTCACTGTAAATAGTTAGTGTGCCTTTAAAAGTGTTACATACTCTTCCTAACTACATAGATTCTTCCTAAATATAGTCTCTCTACCTTAATGTTTATTATCACATACATGCCTGTGCGCACACACATTTTTCTTTAGTTTTTTTTTCTATAAGTTGTCATTTCTAAGTGGACCCAGTGGGAAATGAAAGCAGGTTTTGTACAGCTGATGTGATCACTGTACAGACAGGCTTGGAAAATCCTACCCAATCTGCCAGTTAATTAAAGTGTTAATCTGGGAAACAGCCGGCCCAGAAAGTGTTTACTCAGAGAGCCAAAAGGTAGGGACTGAGTAGGGAGTACCCTATGTTTGCCTGAAAATAAAGGTTCATAAGAACGAACACACACACACACACACACACACACACACACACACACACACACACACCTGCCTTCCCTGTGCCTCTAAAGGTAGGATAGCCTTGATTGTATCCCTGAAAGTTTCTGGCCTGTTTAGGAAAACTAAAATGGAATTATCTCTGAAAGCTAAAACCACAATGGAGTATAAAAAAGCAAATTCCACTCTCAGCAAAGTTGGGTAGGCAGGAAGTCCAGGGTAGTGTGTCTTCTTGACCTGGAATGAAATCTGCTACAGTAGAAGTATGTGCTGGCAATTCGGTAGGGTAGACATGTGGTTTGGTAACTTTAGAACCATGTAGATGCCAGCTCTGCTTATTGTGTGCATTGAGGCAAAGCATTATCTTATCTAAACCTAATTTTCTCAGAGACTGTGATGCTCCTTCATCCCAGAGGGCCTATGCTGTCTGGGAGAGAAGGAAGCTAGCAAGCAAGAATGCATGCAAGAAAAGAATGTGGTTAGGACCTTCCAAACTTACAAATTGTCTCTGTAACTGGAGGCTGCTCAGCCTTTTGCTTATTTTAGACTTTCTTTTCTTTTTTTTTTTTTCTTTTTTTTTTCTTTTTTTTATTATTATTTTTTTCTTTTTAGTTACATTTTGTTAACTCTGTGTCCCAGCTGTATCCTGCTCCCTCATTCCCTCCCCAACCCCACACTCCCTCCCTGGTCTCCTCCCTGCCCCTTTCCAAGTCCACTGATAGGGGAGGACCTCCTCCCCTTTCATCTGACCCTGTTTTATCAGGTATCTTCAGGGCTGGCTGCAAAGTCCTCCTCTGTAGCCTAACAGACTGCTCCTCCCCGGGGGGGGGGGGTGTCAAA